CGACACATATAGCCTTTCGCCCTTTAGATTTGAAATTTCCTAGTTTACTGACAGATCTTTAATTGGAATTTCCATGTCCCTCTGAAAAGACATTAATTTTGTCCCTTGCTAAGGTACCTTTTGTTAGACTCCTTTTAGAAAAGGTTGTTTGGTTGGAAAGAAAATTTGAATTGGAGGAGATCAAGTAGGTAATTTTCGGGTTAAGTAGAGATAAAGCCCCAGGTCCAAATGGGTTCCCCTTAGCCTTGTTCCAAACCTTCTAGGACCTCTTAAAAGAGGATCCGTTTAGTTTGATGGAGGAGTTCTATTGGAGAGGAATAATTAATATAGCCATGAACTCTACTTTCATTGCGCTAATTCCTAAAAAGTCAGTTATGCAAGAGGTGAAAGATATACGGCCAATTAGCATGCTGGTTGGGCAGTTTGTATAAAATTATAGCCAAGGTTTTAGCTAATAAGCTTCGTCAGGTCTTACACTTGGTTGTTCAAGGGCCACAATCAGCCTTTTTGAAAGAGAGAGATTATGGATAGTATTTTGGTGGCTCAAGAATATATTCACTCAAGGATCAAGGATAGAAAGCCGGGGTTAATTTGTAAGTGGGACTTTGAAAGAGCATATGATAAAGTGGATTGGGAGGTGTTACAGAGCATAATGGGTGGTATGGGCTTTTGGGCTCATTGTGGATAGAAGGTTGCTTGAGTTGCACTCATTTTTCATTGTTGATAAATGGAAAGCTACTAGTTTTTTTAAAGCTTCTTGAGGCCTTAGACAAGGGGATCCTCTATCACCATTCCTATATACTTTGATGGTTGAATGTTTCAGTGTCATGTTCAAGGGAGTTACTTCCAAGGGATATTTTTCTGGTGTGAAAATTGAAAATAGAGGCCTTATGATATCCCATTTGCAATATGCAAATGATACCATTATAATTTTGTGATCCGTGTGATAGAGAAGTTACTAATCTTTGGATTTTTCTTACAAGTGTAGAAATGGCAACAGGCTTGAAAGTCAATCTAAATAAGACTAAGCTTATTGGGATAGGATGTCAAGACAGTTGGGTGGGTAGGGTTGTGGTACATAAAAGTTTCCTTGCAAGAATCTAGGCATTCCTTTAGTAGATACTAAATCTTCAAAAGCAATTTGGGACCCAATTATTGGAAGATGTCAAAAAAAGTTGGACCTATGGATGGCCAAGACCCTTTCTTTGGGAGGAAGATACACTTTAATCAAGTCCACCTTATCCAATCTTTCAGTATGCTTTATGTCCCTATTCTGTATGCCTATGCAAATTGTCAAACGTCTTAAGAGATTAATGAGAAACTTTCTATGGGGGGGATGTGGACAAAGATAAGAACCTTCATCTAGTGAAAAGGGAAACAATTTGCAATCCGGTTAGGGAAGGAGGTTTGGGTATCAGAAGATTGAATTTCATGAACTCCAATTTATTGACAAAGTGGTGGTGGAGGATACATTCTCATCAAAACACCTTTAGGGTGGAGGTTCTAAGAGATAAATATGGAGAAGATACCCTCACAGAACTTATTAGGAGTCCAAGAAATAAATCTAATTTTTCCTTCTTATGGAGATGCACTGATCACTGTAGAGAAACTTATTTGAACAACATCAGGAAGGCGGTTGGTGATGGAGATCAAACGCTCTTCTGGTTTGATAAATAGTGGGGGGATGAGCCTTTGAGACTCCAATATCCGGAGGTCTTTACCAAAGTTTTAAACCCCTTGGCTACTGTAAAAGTGGCAAGTGGGGTTGTTTTTACTAACATTGTTTGGTCTTTACCTTGCAGGTATAGGAGGGTCTCTGATTCTTTCACTGAGGCCTATCAAAACTTGCTAAAGAGGCTGAATGATGTATACATTTCACCCAATGAAGTAGACTCTACTGTTTGGGAATGCACGAAGTCTGGGGATTTCATAGTGAAAGCAATCTACTGTTTGTTGTTTCAAAATCATCACGGTGCATCAGATCCCTAGCTACGAATGACTAGAAAGATCAATGTCCCCACAAAAATTTAGATGTTCTTATGGATCCTTTGTCAGGAACGTCGAGCAACAATTGACAATCTAAGGAGAAGGGGCTTCAATATTATCAATGCTTGTATTTTATGCAAAGCTGACAACGAAAGTGTTCCTCATCTTTTATTGGAGTGCCCCTTTGCTTTGAACATGTGGAGCTAGGCCCGTTAGTTGTTCAACCTTCAAGTGCCCATACCAAAAAATACTAGATCTCTTCTTGAACAGTGGATAACACCAGGAATCTCTAAGATAGGTACTGCTCTATGGAGGTCAGTTTGGGTGAGCGTGTTTTGGGGAACTTGGAAAGAGCGAAATAGAAGAGTCTTCCAGGGAGTTGTGTTGGAAGTATCTATCCTTAAATCAAATATCTAGCATTGACCGCAGATTGGTTTTCTACTAATAAGGATTGTGCAGGTATTCCCAAAAGCTTTATAATAATGCATCCTTTTGAAGTAGCTAATCTTCATAGCTATAAAGCAATCTGGCGTGCAGTATGGAACCTATAAACTCAACTTTGATGGCAGTTCCTTCGGAAATTCAGGAACGACGGGTTTTGGGGATCTTATCAGAGATCATCTTGGGAAGATCTGATTGTCTTACTCTGGGCCTTGTGGTAATACAACAGTCAATAAGCAGAAGCTAGAGGTCTATTGGAGGGAATTAAATTGTTTTTAAAATTTGATGGAGAAAAGTTTATTGAAGGGGATTCAACGAATATTATAGCATGGTGTAAAACAAAAGCGCGAGTTTCCTGGAGACCCTCTTCTATTTTTCATGAAATTGGTGACATCCTTCGGTCACTTGAGGTTGAAATACTCCATTGTTACCGTGAAGCAAACGCTGAAGCTGATTCTTTAGCCAAGGGAGTGCCTTTCAATCCTCATTGGTGATTACCAATTTCGTGTGATATACTTTTATGTATTTTGTTCCCCTTGTAACTTCACTGGTTTGTAGTTAATAAAAGTCGTATGTTAATATTAAAAATAAAAGATAAAAAACAAGAACAGAGCAAAAAAGAACAAAAAATATTGAAAATAAAATACTGAAAAATAGAAAAATTGAGGATAGGGATAATGTAAAGGGATGAATCAAGAAAAAATTGCACCAAATTTCAATGGATTTGAATGCAAAACGAGAGAGAAATCGACATTTAGGCAGATTTGTTCAAAATACACTCTTTTCACAAAAAATCGTTGAATCAATCGAAGAACAGAGCAAACAACATCCAAATCATTAACATGAATCCCTACATTTTTATTGAGAATAACTAGAAAAGAAAAATACAAACACAAATTAACAGTTAACAGAAAATGATTTTTTACAGGTGTAATTTGTAACGCATTTTTGGACTATCAATTTTCAAAATATCATAGATATGTCGATCTGCACTATTTTTGAAGCTTTTAAGTTCATAAATAGATATGAAAATATATTTTAAAGCTATCACAAAGATTTCCAATATTGAAATCACATTTCTTGAGGCTATTTGGAGGTAGGCTCTAATTTGATTGTTTAGAGCCTAGGCTCTATACAAACCGCACCTTTTAAAAATTGCATCATTTTAAAGATTACTAGAAAAAGTTGTTTCGATACACCAAAATCCTTGAATCGATATTTCTCAATCTCAAGATGTATGGACATGAAAAAAAAAATGGATTTCAAAACATAGAAATAGTGCACCTTTTTAATGCATTTTCTAGACCGTCAATTTTTTAAGATTTTTAAATATTCACAGATCTGCTCAATCCACATTATTTTTAAAATTCTAAATTTTATACTTAGAGATGAATATAAATTTTCAGGCCATCATAGTGAATTCTAGTATTGAAACAACTTCTTTCAACAGTATTTGAATTTCTCTAAAATAAAAGATATTTAAATGAAATATGGAATCAAATAAAACTTAACTTTTTTAATGCATAAGGTGCATGATTCAAAGTTCTAAATATCTGAATGACATGTTTAGAATTATGGTACATTTACCGTTTACAAACCATTGAATAGTTTGAGAGCATTTTTTTTATTGTTCAGCCGACATTTTCATTTCAAGGGCTCGAAGCTATCTAATTCTGGTTTCACTTTTCCTCTCGTTCAGCACCAAAATTACTTAAAAACCGAAAAGTACATAGTAAGTTTGTTTGCATTTGGTACAAAAATGTTATAATCATCCCTAGCAGTTGGATGTGTAATATAGAGGTTAGAGATGCATCTCTAAATGTGCTTGTAATTTTGAATTTTATTTGAAAAAATTATACACCCCCTTTACACAAGTTTAAATGGGTGTGATTTGTATAGAGCCGAAGTTCCAAACAATCAAAGTAAAGCACACCTCAAAATAGTGCTGAGAAATATGGTTTCAATACTGAAAATTTTTGTGATAGCTTTAAAATATATTTTTTTCTTTAATTATAAAATTTAAAGCTTAAAAAATAATGTAGATTGAACCGATCTACAAAAACTTAAAAATCTTGAAAATTGATAGTCAAAAAATGCATTACAAGATACACTATTTTCAAAACTTGAAATCCATTTTTTTCTTATGTCCATGCATCTTGATGTTGAGAAGATCAATTTGAAGATATTTGAGCATCAAAAGAACTTCTTTTAGTGAAATTTTTTAGGCAAGTTCTAACTTGATTGTTTAGAGCCTCGGCTCTATATAAACTTTTTCCATTTTAAATTAGCAGCTTGTAGTGTTTGTGCACTATATTAGGTACTGTTATTACTGCAATGTTCACAGTACTAACAATGATCGAGAGAACTATAAGTGTACAATTCGAATGATATACATCACTCAAAATCTATTTTCTAAGTAAAAATAATAATGACAATAATAATAAAATAATAAATTTTTTTTTTTTCCCCCAAAGTCCATATACAAATTGCATCATTGACTCAAACAATTTTGACAAGCCAAAAATATTACAAATCTCAAGCATCGTCCCCTTATATCAGTATAAAAATGTATAAGTATAAAAAAGATAAGGACTGCAATACAATATATACTTATTATCTTGTACAAAAGTCATAAACACCCATAGCTGTCAAATGTAAATCATAGAGCTATATTGTGTCATTTATCCGCACAAAGTATGAGAAAATTTTTCTCAAGATTTTATAGCACATCACTATTTTTATTGGATACTTTCCTCATAGAGTATCCTCAACCATATCAATCGCAGTTTGTACCTAAGCATTCGTCGGATAATTTAAATGACTCAAGTGTACCAATGATGTCCCTTTTCTCTTCCTTTCACTTATGAATACAAAGAAAAGCAATCCAAATAAGCAAAACCTATAAAAGGAGCCTTTCAATCACCTTTTTTTATACCGAATACCACCACCATCATGAGCAAAGATCTCCAAATTTCTAGCCAATGACTGCCATCATCTTGCAGTGCTCTAGAATCTCCTCTCCTAACTTAACATCATCAACATGAGACATCAAAAGTTTTGCAACCTTGGCAACGTATGGATCCTCAGTGGCCTTCAGGTCCAACTCATTAGAAGGCTCGTTTGATCCATGAAGAGAGAATTCATGGCATTTTACGGGGTGATCCTCATAACTCTCTCTGCACATTGACTGAACAAAGACCTTGGGCGTAAGAGTAGCGGACTACTATGTCAATTGCATCCATGCAAGCCTTGCTTATTTGCAAGTTTAGATGATCAATTCCAATTATGTAGTCCTGAGGGAAACGTGTTTGCATTTTTGTATGTTGGTGCTAGAATTTCAGCCTGCATGAAATATATCATATAGTGAGAAATCTTGTTAGGAATTTCTTGGGAAATCTCTCTCCAGAAATCTCTTTTCAAGATTGCTTTCCCATATTTGTTTCATGGGAAAATGGTGCTCAGGAAGTCTACAATGTTCATGCCACCATACAAAATTGTGGTATTTCATGGTAAAGTGGCTGCTTTCATTGAAATCTCCCTCGTGTAGAGTGATTTACGATGAACATCCCCTAACAATTTGAATTTTCTAAGGGTCTCCTGGAGAAAAATTGTTCAAAGAACACAAAAGAAGATACAAAAATTTGAAAGTCAAAGAAAGAAAAATAATTTTCCCAAAGCCTTTTTCACCATTTCTTCAAGTTTACTTTTTCTTGTAGTTTTACATCATGCAGCTAATAACAATTTATAATTTATACTTCGAAATTTTATACACTTATACATTGTATATATTGAATTTCCAAAATAATGATGGGATATTTCTCAATACAAAGGTGGAAAACTGGAAACAAACAAATCAATGGCATGGAAAAACATCAAATAAAACAAAAGTCAAATTAGTGTCACAACCAAAAAAGATTCTTATGCTAACATTATGATGTCATAGAAAACTCAAAACCAAAGACCCAAACATGTATTGTGCATAAAAATAATAATAATCACACTATAATTTTAATATTTTCCTAGAAAGTGAGTTGTATATGGGCGTCTGGGGTATGTGCTATTCAAGAAGACATTCAAATAGGATGAGTGGATGCCATGGGATTCAAGAATATGTAGTATCTTAGTGATGGTTTGGTCATTTATTGGGAAGATTTGGATAAAGAAAAGATAAAGTAAAAAATTAGAAAAAATCAGCTCTCCTATGATCATCATACTTCAGCCATCAAAATTATGGGTGGCAACGGGTCGATATGAGGCGGGTCCGGCCAGACCCGAACCCGATAATATAGTATGGTGACCCAACTGTGTCTAGAGTCCTTGGACCCAACCCAAAAATGTATATTTAGATATATTTAAATATATTTTATAAATATGTTAAATATACATATACGCATTATTTAAAGGGTGCGGTTTCTATAAGGTTGACACCTTAAACAATCCAATTAAGGCGCACCTCCAAATTTTATCATAATACGTAATTTTGTTGTAAAAAATTCTTAGGATTATTTTAAAATCTATTTTCATATCTGATTAGAAAATTTTAAACTCTAAAAATAGTTAAAATCAAGGAGATCTATAAACATATGAAAATCTTGAAAATGGACGGCCTAGATAATGTATTGCAAGATGTACTATTTCTGAGACTCAAAGACTTTTTTTTTTATATTCATACATCTCGATGTCGAGATGATCGAATAGAGGGTTTTTCAACATTAAAACAACCTTTCCGATAGATTTTGAGGTGCATCTGTAATTCTACATTTTAAGTTTGCAACCTTATATAAACTTTTCCCTTATGTAAATATTGTAACTCTAAATATACAGTTCTATTAATTTAAATATTATCTAAATATTATATGTTAAATATTATTTACATATCATAACTATTCTGGTCGGGTCTACACGGACTCGGATGCCGACCCCAATAGTGTTGGGGTCCAAGATTTGGACCTGGACCCAACCTGCGGGGTTCAAATTTTGGACCCAAACCTGGACCAAGGTCGAGACTACCCATCGGGTCTTGGGTCAAGTCCGGGTCTATTGCCACCCCTAATCCAAATCACCTGTACTTATCTGAGGTCCTAAAAAAAATGATTCTGATTGTAGTGATTAATAATTTACATGGAAAACTCTTCCCAAAAACATTAGATAAGAAATACCTGGATTTGAAGTGAAAATAGAAAATGGCTTCGAATGATTCTGCAATTTGCAACATCTAGAGCCTGGAAATCTCTCATATCTTCTGCAGAAATCAGTGCTAAGTGGAGATTTTGCAGTTTAGGACACAAACCATCTTCTGCCTTAGTGATATTTTGAGCTTGAATCCTCGCCTCCTTTCTCCTTCGTACTAAAGCTGAGTAAAATTCATTCTCTGTTTCTTCTGCAGTTGCAAAGTCTACCGCTTTCTCTATCATGAGAGTTTCAAAGAACTCCCTCGGGATGGCTTCTATGTTTGATTCCTCTTGAATTGATAACATGCGAACGCAACCAGATTCCAAGGCAGTTCCAAAGTCTACCTCTTTCTCTATCCTGAGAGTTTCAAAGAACTCCCTTTGGATGGCTTCTATGTTTGATTCCTCTTGAATTGATAGAATGCGTACCCAACCAGAGTCCAGGATAACATATGGGGACTCACTCCTAAGAATGACTTTCCTTCCACTTTTTAGTTGTTCATAAAACCAAAAATCACTTGTGAAGAAACTGAAATGGATGGTCTCCACGGTTTCAACATCTGGGTATTCATGCACATGCACCATTGAAATTGCCCCCTTACTAAGAGAGAGAGAAATCCTCCCTTCTCCCTCTGAATTCAAACCAAAAGATTGCAGCAATTCTCCATAGACTTTGAAATAATTACGTGAAATGAAGGCAACCCTGATCCATGCACAAGGAACAGTGGATTCCGGCATAGTGAACTCTAGATGTTGCATCGAGACTGAATTCATCATATGGAACTCTTGGAAAATTTCGTGCTTTTTGAACACCGTCTTTGTTGCAAAATGCATAGCGGGTGCATATATGTGTTTCTACATGAACGCATCAAATAATAGACGTTAGGGTGGTTTATTTGGTCATCATAGTGTTAAAATTGTAGCAATACTGCCATACTTAACATCATATGGTGAATGACAGTGTAGAAAGACAGCCGACATGTTTGCATAGGAAACGTCCACAACAGTTGAAACTAAGGCAATATTTCTAGAGTACTATTGTATTTATCATTTAAATTCCGGTCCATATTTCAAGGTTGGATAAGGATACAATGGTTGTGGAGTTCTTTTCTTTTAATATCATTTTGTACATTATATAGATCAAAGAGAATATTAAATATTGAGATGTATACAATGAGATCATTTACCTATCGTATTGGGAGGTCACAATTATTTACAATCATCCGATTTGAAATCTGATAGCTTGGGTGTGTCACAAAGTTCGAGAAAATTTCTTTTGAACTTTGAGATTGGTCAATAAAATAAATGCAACCACCCAGTTTCACATCCAATGGTCAAGATTAATTGTGACCACTATGTACCAAAGGTAAATGATCTCATTATATACTTTCCCTTAAATGTATTATTATCTGTCAGTATTTAACAACATTATATTATATGTTAACATTTAACAACTAGTAGAGAGATGAGTGAGTTTCCAGTGACAATAGGTCTACATCAAAGGTTAGCATTGAGCCCCTACCTCTCTGTCTTAGTTATGGACGACTTAATTAGGCACCTACAGGATGAGATACCATGGTGCATGCTGTTCGTAGATGACATAGTTTTGATCGATGAGACCCGAAACAACATCAACACAAAGTTAGAACTTTATAAGGATGCTCCAGAATACAAAGGTTTTAAAATTAGTCGGACTAAGACAAAGTATAAGGAATGCAAGTTTAGTAGTAACAGGAGTAGAGATGAGGATGTAGTTAAGATTGATGGCCAAGAAGTACAAAAAAGACCGCACTTTCGATAGGTATCTTGGGTCGATAATCCTGGAAAATGAAGAGATTGAGGAAGATGTCGCACACAGAATTAAAGCTAGGTGGGCGAAATGGAGATGTGCAACTGGAATTTTATGTGATCGCCGCATACCAATAAAGTTGAAGGGCAAGTTCTATAAGACAGCTATGAGGCTAGAGCTTTGCTCTATGGGGCAGAATGTTGGGCAGAAAAAAAATAATATGCCCATAGAATGAGTGTAGTAGAGATGAGGTTCTTGAGGCGGATGAGTGGCAAGATAAGAAGGGATAGAATTCGAAATGAATTCATTTGGAAAAATTTAGGTGTGGCACCAATAAGTGATAAGATGAGAGAGGGTAGACTTAAGTGAACTGGTCATGTGTGGTGCTGACCAAGTATAGCACCTGTTAGGAGGTGCGAGTTAGTTCAAGTGGAAGGATTGAAAAGAGCAAAATGAGGCCTAAAAAAACATGGTTGGAAGTAGTTCGAAAAGATATGAGGACCTATGGCCTCACGGAAGGTATGGATGATCAAGATTCGTGTAGTTGACCCCGATTAATTGAGAAAAGGCTATAATGATGCTGCTGCTGATGATAATGATTTAACAACATTATATTAAAATTTTCAAAAGTGTGAGCAGTGGAGGCAGCCTGAAAATTTTAATACATTATTGCTTAATCTACCAGTAGAACATAATGAAGCATATAATGCATTTTTCAAGTGAGATAAAACTTCCAAAATAATAGCGTAAGCAGGGTAACTCTGGTTAGTGCCGATCAAGCTAAAACCCAGTTACATCCAAATAAACAAATTCAATATTACCATCCAAGCAGATAAAGCAGTAACTTACCGAAAGGGTTTGTAACTAGTCACCTCCATAATAGAGAAAACCCTAATTTGTTATGAAAATATGCAACTCCTTCAGTGTCTTCACCTTCTCCAATCCTTGTATATAGTGCAACACGATGCATCCCACCGTGTCAAGCTTTTCAAGATGTTGAAGTTCATCAATGGACTGTATCATGGAGAGTTCTTCACAGTTCCTCAAGGTCAGCTCCCTTAGCCCCATACTGAACCCACTAGGGACTGAAACAATTTTCAGAAGAGGACATCTAATGATTTCCAACTTTCTTAGAGTTGGAGACACCTCAAATTCAACGAAGTTGGGGCAAGAAATTATAGAAAGAGAGATGAGGTTCATAAACACACCCTTGATATTCACATGGGCAATAGACATTTTACAAAGTTCTAGAGATGTCAGATAAGAGACCGAGCCACAAATCAAGGCAAAAGACTCATTTGAGACCTGGCACTCATCCAAAACTAGCTTCTCTAAAAGGGTGCGATTTGAGAAGCATTGGTGAGATAAATGGAGGCCAGAATTTCCTATCAATTTCATTTCCTTCAGTTTTGAGAGATTGCTGATACCAAATGGCAACTGCACCAGATCTCTACACTCCTTTATGTGTAAAACCTCTAAATTGCACAAATAGCCTATCAGCTCTAGTAATTCAACCAGCCCACATGATGATAAAATCAAGGTTTTAAGGTTCCTCAGCTGCCCAATTGACGGAACAAAGTTCTTGAGATTGGGGCAACCATCCAAGGTCAAAATAAGTAAATTACAAGGATCACCAAAGGAAGGGCAATTCCACCAGTTCAGGACCTCTTATATCAAGCCGGTGCAAAAATGATAACTGCTCAAACCTATCAGGTAGCTTGATGAAGTCCCTACTTGAGAGCATTAGAACACATAAATAAGGTAGCTGAACAATGGACGGTAGAAGGTTGAAGCTCATACAGGACAACAAATTAAGGGATATTAAGCTTCGAGAATAAATTGGATGCTGCAGATCAAGAAGTTGACACCCAGAGATATCCAGATATGTTAGCTGAGCTAAATGACCAAATGGAAGAGTCATAAGTTGCCTACAATTGCTCAAATTTAAGTCTACCAAGCTTGCAAGATTAACAAAAGAATCAGGAAGTCTTCCCAATCTTTCACAACCTGACAAATTGGGAATCCTCAGATACCTTAAATTTTCAAACAATGATGGTAAATTTTCAAGATTGATGCACCCTGACATGTTTAGATGAACCAATGATTGCAAATTGCATATCTCATCAGGAAGGGTGACTACAGCTTTGCAGTCTTTCAAAACCAGTGTTTTTAAGTGCACTAGCTTTCCTATTGATGTTGCAATTGCAATGAGATTTTCATATCCTTGAAGTTGAAGGTGCCTTAACTGGACAGGGACCTGCAACCAATGAGAGCAAATAAATTTAGAAGAACTCCATACAACAGTTACATGGGACATGCATGTAAGAAATAACTACCTCTGAATTCTTCTGGTCATCCCACAAATGAGAGAATAGACCTCCTTCTAACTCGAGAACTCGCAATTGGATAGGGGAAGTCCCTTTGGAAGGGTAACATAAGGGCAAAATTGCCAACGTAGCCATATAATTCCCTTTGATAATATGTTGAATTCCCCTTCAATACAAGTATCTTCTAAGAAAAGCAATTTCAATTTACTCATCTTTGTGAAGAACTGCACAGGCCAAGCTTTGAGAAGACTCATCCCGTCTTCTTTCCAAATGATAGATGACGGGACCATGTTCAGTTTTGCCATCTTAGAGGGATTTGACCTTCTTTCCACCAGACTGAGATACTCCACGTTCATGAATCCCTGCACCATTTGAAACCACAGAACTCTGTTGTCTATTTTAAATTGAAGCAACTAGTTCTAGGTGCATCCATTGCATGAAACCTCATGGAAATGAACGAAAAACATACAATATAGAAATGCAGAGAACGAAAAAAAAAAAGAAAGAGAGAAAACGAAAAAAGAAAAAGGAGAGAAAACAAAAAAACCAGAAACTGAAACATGAAATACTTGAAAAGAAATTTGATACATAGCCTCTTCTTCCAACGCCATTTTAAAATAAAAAGAAAATGTTAAAAACCTGCAAGTTACTTGTTTAAAGGGGTAAATCAATCACATCCATTAAATTTCAGTGTTATGTGATTATTTCTTCAAAGTGAGGGTCGCTTTGGCCGTTTCTAAAATTGAGAAGATATTGGCAAAAGAAATGATATTTATTTTAAGAACCCAGTTATAGAGCATTTAAATCAACATTCCTGGGGGCATCAATATGATGGGAATGTTTGCACATTTTAGAGCAGAATGAGCTATGAAAAGAGAAAATGGTAATACTAAAAACTTACTATGTCATATAAGAGAACATTTAAGGGTTTTAAATAACTTTGGTCATATAGACCACATGAAATAGAACTACTTTATTAATCTAAGACACTATTTTATAAATAGACCAAACCATCAATGGGGAAAGTTGCCAAAAATTCAAAAAACAAGCACTTGTTTGTCATCATTTATATACATGTCCTTGCATAACAACGGATGGTTTACAGTGTTTTGCTGCAAGGCTTTCTGCACATGTTTCTGCTGCCACAATCGTGTACATGAGCTAGGATCTTTCATGAAGTCTTCATTAAGATACTTCAAGAAAAATTGTTTTAACTGTAAATGGATTGAGAGTCTCTTACTGTCCAGTTCTAGTTTCACCATGTTTTTTTGTGTGAGCTTGTTTAGACCCACATTACTAGAGATCCCTAAAGAATTCCAAAAGCTAATTGCGACATCCTTGTCTTCTCCTTCCAAGAAACATGCAATATCAAGAACAACATTCTTTTCCATCTCACTAAGATCGACAAAACTTGATTGAAACCTCTTTGTGATTCCGCTGGTAAGATCTTGGATGCCTTTTTTAAGGTATTCTCCCAATAAAACCGGCTGGTAATCCCAAAAAGCTTTTGGCCATAAACCTCTAAAGACAATGGCAATCCATCACTGAGGTTGAGGAACTCCTCGGTGATATCTTCAAGTTCCGGATGTGGCAATTCAGGTCTTTCCATGGCATGCATGAGAAGTAGCTTTCTAGCAGAATCTCAATCCATAAATGGTACATCATAAATGCACGCGTGGCAAAACTTTTTAAGTAATTCATTGTTATTAGAAGTTACCAGAATAATACTCTCATGACTTAGAACTTCATGCACCATAAGAGCTTTCAATTGAAGATGGTCGTCAACATCATCGAGAATCAAGAGGAACTTTGGTCCTTGTAGATGCTTCTTGAGAAGTTTGATTCCTTGATCAGTGCTACTAATATGGTCTGCATTATACAATGCCAGTTCTTTTAGAAGCAGTTTTTGTGTATTTTGCAGCTCCTCACCAGTCATTTGCTTAATATTCCCAACAAAGCACGAAGACCTGAATGACGATCGATGCAAATTGAAGTACCTCTTAGCTATTGTTGGTTTGCCAATTCCAGTCATACCAACAATTCCAACAATGCAAGCCCCATCAAGAGATTCGTGGTTGTTTATGATAGCATGCAATTCATTAACTCTATGATCAATAGCAACAGGGTATTTAGCAACTTCCATGTCCACACTCTTCACTCTTCTAACCACATCTGCAACGAGGGCACTTACAAGGTCCTCTTTCCTACAATAGTGCAATCATGCAAAGATGATTAGCACATCCTGTAAATTAAAGATTTAATCCTGAAACCCAACCCTATCTCATATATGGTATTAGTTCAAGCTATTAGGAAAAAAAGAGATAAGACTGTTGACTGAAAAAGCCAGTTTTGAACTTCTCGTTAAGCATGCATAGATTGGAGGAATTGGTCATGAAGCTAAAGAACTTTATCAATCCTAAAAAAATAAGTTTCACTATATTTCCTGAAAGTCCTTCTTGGATTTTCCCTAAAATGGTTAAACCAGCTAAGAAAGTCATTATGATGATCAAATCAACTAATTTAGAGTTAAAAGTGGTTACTGTATGTGGTTCCTCACTCAAATACTTAAAAATTTTGTTTAAAAGGCCCCCTGACTGCCTTTGTGATACAAAACCCTGAACAAGTACGGCAATTTGGTAATTAATTCAATACTCATAAATAGCCCTAGTTGTTCAAGGTTAAGAATCCAGGGCATCTTTTTAATATCAAAAGCTCTTGTTCAAACCCGAACAAGGAGGGACGTTTTTATTATGTGGCTTAAGCAAAGGTGACACGAGCCAAACACCGAATGAATCCTCAGTTGTTCAGACTTGGGACCCCATAATTCCTTTCATTTCATTAAATATACTTGTCCTGAGTTTTCAACCCCAAAACATGGAGGGGTAACATACTTTTTAGCTTGAATTAAGTGGCTAAATGGTTGTAACCCTCTTGTTCCGGGTTGGAAACCGAAACTCACTTTTCTTTCTCTTTTTTTTTTCAAGATCGCTGCAGCAGTTTGAAGGCGCTCAAGACCTGTTTGGACGTGAGCTGAGCTTCCAACAAGAAGATCCTACTACTGCTCATTCCAACGGCTAGAATTTAAGTGGCTAAATGGCTGTAACCCTCTTGTTCCGGGTTGGAAACCGGAACTCACTTTCTAATAGGAAATCCTTACAACATTCCTAACCCTGAACAAGGAGGGTTAATATTGTCATTTGCTCAAATTAAGTGCCTTGAGTAAAATGACAATACTTACTTGCTCAGGGTACTCAAGTTTTTCGTAATCCTTGTTCTAGTTTCCTAACCTTAGACAAGCACGGACCGCCTAAATGGGGCCAAATTTATCAAAATGTTTCTACTTGTTCAAGGTTCTCGATCTAGATCAAGGTTAATTTGGTCATTTTAAAATAAAAATAGTTTTAGAGAGGTACTTGAGTGAAAACAATATTATAAAGTAACCACTTTAATGCTAAATTGGTTGATTTGACTACCTAAGGTAGTCTTTTAAGAGATTTGATCATTTTAGTAGTGTTCTCCAAACAAGGGAAATTTTTGGAAATAATCCCCTATAATTTGCAAAATTCAAAAAAATGCTCCCAGCCTTTCACATTTTTATGTTCCATTTTTGGTATTTATTAATTTTTAAAAAATATACCTTGTTAAGTTCTGAACTGAGGAGATTTTTTTTTTATGACTTAGAGATTAGTGTGGAACTTGAAGTTCTGAACCAAGTCTTTCATAAATGATCCTTCAATAAAAAAATAAAGACAATTGAGCTAGAGTCTTTCATTCTCTTTGTGGTTTTCAAAAAAATGAGTATGGTGTGCAGCCGAGGAAGCAAATTGTGAACTTAGTCCCTCAAATAAATGACCAATTTATATAAAAAAAAGTTTTAAAAATTGGCAAACCGGATCGGAACCAGTCAATCCTGATCAGTAATCGTCTGTACCGATCCAGTTCCTCTAAAGAACCGACCAGTTCCTCCTAAGAACCGACCAGTTTGAGCTGGTTCTCTAACAGTTGCGGCCAATTCTATTAGAGAAAACCGATCAATTCTGTCAAAGAACTAGACGGTTCTCTTGCGAATTGGATACAAAGTTGAAATTTTTATTGAAAAGGAAGGTGGTAGTGGGCCCACCCTTTTAATTTGTGTGTTTTTTATTCTGCTCATCTATTTTAATTTATATTTTATAACTCCCATAATTTGAAGGGCCTCCTTTTACTTTAGATGGCCCACATCCCCGTGATTGAGGAGCCACCACATGTACCTAGGTTGCTCACCCTCCCAAGCCTATCTTTCCCTAAACCTCTCCTTTCTGAAAGAAAGACCTATGTGATCTTTTACCAAAAAATAATTTTTTTTTTTTTACCCTTTTTGTTTTGGCAAAAAAACACTTACATGTAGTCTTATAACATGAACTTCAAAATAAAATCAACATAACAATAAAACCAAGATCTTAAAACTTGATGCCATTGAACAACTATGCACTATGCTTGAAATAAAAGGTAAGATTGCAAGAAATAAAAGGAAAAGTATCGAAGATTACCTTAACCGGGTTTATTATACCCTACATCGAGTCACCACTATCCGATGGTACGGGATCAACGGTCTAACTTCAATCTTGAACCGGGAAAACAAATTTCAGCCAAACTATTTCACATAACCCTTTTGTAACTCATCAAGCCTAGATCCTAATCCCAAAATTTTTTGGCATACTTCCCAACCCTTAGCATATAAGATGAGAGAGAGTGGGGTAGATCCTAGGGTTGGGGCGTGCCCCCTCTATGGCTAGGAGAGAGAATATCTACAGAGAGAGAGAGGGAGTGGAAAGAGAGTGGGGCATGCCCCTTAGAGGAATAGAGAGAGAGAGTTGTGAGAGAGAGAAGAGAGAAAGTGTAGAGAATAAGAGGGGTACACCCCTATTAATAGTGCAAAATTAAGTTTAGAGTTTCTCATAATTTACCTCTTAGGTGAGATTAAACATAAACCGTCAATCAATGATGACTTGCGGGGTGAGAGATCTGAGCCATCCATTCCATAGATGGGCCATCAATATTATGGAAGGTGCACGAATCATTATCCCCCTTTCCTAAACTATTTTCCCATCAATAGATTTTAAATAAATTAAATCTAATCAAATATTGTGCATACCATAAATTTAGCACAAGTCTACTCAGTCTTTCCACAAAATCTTTCAAAACATATCAAGTCAATATTTAGTCAAATATTTTCCAACCTCAAGATTCCATTTGACCTCATACCATATCTTATCAAAATGGTAACAAGAACATGCATGGGCCAAGGAAGGCATGCATGGGCGTGCCACCCAAGGAAGGCATGCGAACCCATGTGCACAATAGGCCCCCATGAAATTTTATTTTATATTTAAAAATAATAAAAATAATTTAAAAATATTTATTTGAATATTCAAACTATTGTAAATTCAATATATTTAATTTTACAAATCCAAATTTCATAAATAAAATATCCAGACGTTCATAAAAATTCAAATAATAATTCTAAAATAATATTTACCATAAAACAAACATAAATAAATTAATTTGATGGAAAATGGATCCATATGGCATAAGAATTAAATCAACAATCATGGGGCACTCTACCTTCAACTGTGGACTACAGACCATACTTGCTTTATCAAACCGACCTAGTGTGTCCCATGACCCACAGTCCAAGCAGTGGCTCATTAGTGGGTCACCAAAGTCTGGCTGATGAGCCAAGGGGTCGTAATCCCAATCTGTGGATTTCAGGTCCTCCCGTAGAGAGGGGTCAAGGTCACCTAGACCTGATGCGACCACAGCTCCTATGGTGCATAGGAGTATCTCTCGCACATGCATAGGCTTCACTCTAAAAGATGGCTTACTTATTTTCCTGAACGATCTATCAATATGCATGTCGTGTGATGGTACATGGATGAGGCTTTGGTCCCCGTCTCTGTAAGCCACCATCACACACAAGGATCACATAGTCCCTCGACTCACTCATCCCACATGCTCTGACCTCATCAAGGGATGACCCATTAGAACCCTTCTCGGTTTATTCTCTATGCCCAGGTAACATGGGTTTTTTCCAACCGACTGGCTAGATCGTTAAGGACAGATCAGTATCTGTAAACACTATTTGCATAGTATGGTCTATGAGGGACCACACTCCCACTTGGTTTATGTTCCACTATATCAAATGTTTTTATTACAAACACTCATAAGGCCTTTAAAGGCCACATAAACCCAACACTTTCCCTCACCCCTTTTTATTAGCACTTGTTCCCCATGACCCTTTGGCATTGCCCCATATGGGATTAATATGTCTAAGTGAAAAAATTCCCAGCAATGAGAGAGAGAAGGAGACGGAGGCAGAGAGATGGGCACACTAAGAGAGAGAGAGAGAGAGAAGGGGGGCATTGATTGATGTACACTGTATACAATAAATTGATTGCGAGATAAAAATAGAGGACACGGTTTCTATGAGTCCATGTAGAAATGAGGCATCTCTTAAAAAACTAATTTTGAGATGGATTATTGGACCTAATTTTTAAGGACATGTAATATCAAACATGGAGATCACGAATATGAATAAATAAATAAATTTTGAAAATTTAAAATAATAATTCTATTAAGAAAATATTTGGACAATTAGTTTCAATTGTTTTTAGATAGACCACCTATTTGCATTCATCTTTAAGATAGATGCTTTATACTTGGGACCGCATATTGTAGTCATATGGCCAACCCAGATTAAACAATTTTCCAAATATAAAAGAGGACATAGTGTTAAGATATATGGTGTTTCCATGTTTAATGATTCAATTAGAGAATTCTTAAAAATTTCATATATTTATATGGGACATTTACTAAAATTTCTTTTTAAAATTTCATATATTTATAACGGACATTTAGTAAATTTTATTTTTAAAAAATTCAATCTGTCCTACGTAATCTAAAAGGTATGCTATGACATATATGGTTATCAGGATTGGACCGTCCACAAACAGATGATTCACAAATGTAATTTCAGCTTAAAGAATATTTAAAAACACTGCACTTTCATGCAAATATCCAATAAACAAATTCCACGAAAAAAAAAAAACGAAAACTAAAATTCAGGCCAATTCCAAAACTAAAAAAATCTACGTTCTCATCAAATTAAATGAAAGGGTAGCAGGTAAAGGTTAATTACCTGCTATAATCCTTAGATCTTGGCCCCCATATCTCTGCAACTTGCTTCAAACCCTCCTCCCATTTCGCGATTGTTTCCAAACTGTAATCTTCACTCTCTCTATGCATCCGAAAAGCCTTATTGAAAGGCCCTTTATTCACATCTCTCAAATCATCAGGAAAACATTGTAGTAAACACGAATCAATATCCCCTTTCTCTCTCCGCTTCGTCTCTAATCAACCATCAACCTCACCTCATCCAGGCACCATGGAGACTCTGCAAACCCTTTGCTCAGCAGCACCAGCCATATCGATGAAACTCTGATCGCTTCCACGATCACACCGCTTAAGTTCTCCCCCGTTCTAATCTCACGAGAATCAAAGAAGCTGGAAACCCCCAATCCACTCAGATCGCCATGAATCTTCTCGGCATGCTTCTTGAGCTCAGATCCCCTGTGGCTTATGAACGCATCATAGAGAATCACCCTTCCTCGAACGTCTTCAGAAACAAGAACCTCATCCATTATCTCTGGGCAAGAATTGGCAATAATGCCAGAATCTGAAACTGTAATCAAGGGTTGAAGAAACGTAAAGTTGAGGAAGTCGAGGAGATGAGAAATTCTAGCATTGAAGAGAAGATGATTGGCATGGATTAGGGTTAGGGTTAAGATGAATGGAAGCCATTTTTCAGTTAAAGAAAATGGAACTGAAAGAACGCCGTTTTTAGAGTTTAAAAAAATAACACGACCGTTCCTTTCAAAGCTTTCGTGGAGCCTGTTACAGGATAATGGAGGCCTAAACTCATAGGTTGACTTTTTCCCTAACTGTCGAGCTACAAGAGTCTACGGACATGCTGAGTAGTCCACGGATAGATCGCACGGCTCCGGGCGGTGCGGCAACGTAGACACGCGTGGACACGAAGCGTGTTCGGGTCTGGAGCCAAGAATTGGACCGGTTGGGTTAGGTGCTGGACCTTGTACTCATTGAAGGCAAACTCGGGCGGTTCAACAGTTAACGGCCCAGTTAGATCGGAACATGACGCTAGCTGGTTATGGTTTCGCCGATTTTGGTGACCGGTCAAATATTTAAAAATAAAAATAAAACTTTTATATAAAATTTAAAAAATAAGAGAATTTATTTATAATGTATTTTTTAATATTTTTCATCAATGACAAAGATTGAAAAAAATTTCAACCCTTAATACTTATTTTTATATTTTTATATTTTTTTAAAAAAATTCAATACTATGCACCCCTAAGCCCAAATCTATTATTTAAAATCTATTTTTTATTAGTTTTGCATGTGCTTTGTTTAGTAATTCTTTAAATATATTTTTCAAATTTTATTAGATTTTTCTTTTTTGCATTTTTTTTAACACTTTTTTTGCCGCCCAAGACTTGCCCGGTTAGAGCAGTTGAATCGACCGGTTTATCAGTTAGGACGGTTGAACCACTTCATGGCCCATATCCGATTAACCATTCCAGTTCGATTTTTCCTACACTTCCTGTACCCGACCTAAGCCGAGGTAGGTCCATGCCCGTTGTAGGGTTGTTCTAGCAACAATCGAACCCACCCAATATTTATATATAGGAAAAATTTATACAAGTTGTCAACCTTATAATTGAAGTAAGATGTACCTCAAAAACACATAAGAAGAGATCATTTTGTCACTGACAAAGCCTCAAATTGATCATCTCGACTTTGAAATGTGTGGCTATAAGAAAAAAAAAGGGGATTTCAAGTCCTTCAATAGTGTATCTTGTAATGTATAATCTGAACCGTCTATTTTCAAGATTTTCAAGTGCTTGCAGATCTACTAGATTTACAAGTGCTTGCAGATCTACTAGATTTACAAGTGCTTGTAGATCTACTAGATTTATACTGTTTTTTAATATCTAAATTTTTTAATTTGAGATGAAAATAAATTTTCAGGCCATCACAAGGATTTCAAATATTGCAACATCTTTCAACATCATTTAGATATGTACCTTAAGAAGGACATATGATAATACATTCTTCAATCAGGCAACTCAACAAGCTATAGGGAGTATCAGGTTGAAACTCAGGACCAGGAATTGGAGGCATATACTACATTTCAGGTCGATGAAATTGAAGCATCCTAAAATGTGTTGTTGGTATGCCCCTGGTTGCACGATAATGGTGTCATTCCCTAATCACTTCATCAATGCTTCTAGTATTTCCATGAAGGGAAGCCGCATACGGTCTATGTGGACCGGAAGCCATTCACTTAGGGTAGAATCTCACTATGCAGATGCCAAATTCTACAACCTCGAAAATCCAGATCCTTACTTTGCTAAAGTATCGAAGAGTGAAAGTGATTCTGACAAAGATCATGGGATCGAACAAGCCTTGATTAGGGCCTTTGAAGGTCAAGTTGTTGAAGCAGGAGCCATATCACTCACTTCTATCGTCCCAATAAATGTTGATTGAGATGTACTGTACCACATTGGAGATGGTTTGATCAACTTGCCCCGAAACACGAGCTTCAAGAAAGGACTCCAAGAAGAACATGAGACTCCTCAAAGCCGCAATGGAAGATATATAGCCCCCATACCCATTAGATTATGGAGAATATGAACTATGATCTGTCCACTACCCAAGGTTTGAACAATGGAAAGGGAATTATAGCACCTGTCCAAGCAATTGAAAGTGTGTCATATAAGAGGTTTGACACTCAAGGGATAGGGTACACCCTGACCCTTGAGTCTAGCTCGAAAAGTGTCCATAAGAAAAAATGGATGGTCCAATGTGCCATGGTATCTATAAGCAGTCATAAAGGTCGAGATTCAGGCAGTGAAGTTGAGACAGAGCCTGTCCCTCGACAACTGGAAGACGGAGGTCAGGCCACAGTGGACGAGTTGATAGAAATTGAGCTAGGCGAAGAAGGAGACCATAGGCCCACATTCCTGAGTTCGTCCTTGGACTCCTAGGAGAGAAAGGCGAGGAAGGACATCACAAGCTTGTTGTTGATCCTCACATCAAGCCGGTAAAGCAACCCCAAAGGAAGTTAAGGAGATCATAGGCCCACATTCCTGAGTTCGACCTTGGACTCCTAGGAGAGAAAGGCAAGGAAGGAGATCACCAGCTTGTTGTTGATCCTCACATCAAGCCTGTAAAGAAACCCCAAAGTAAGTTTCATCCAGATATAGCGCCTCAGATTGAGGCTGAAGTTAACAAACTGGTAAAGGCCGGGTTTATCAGGGAGGTAATGTACCCTAAGTGGCTTGCCAACATAGTACCGATGAAGAAAAAGAATTGACAGATAAGTGTTTACATCAATTTTCGCAACCTCAATTTAGCTTGTCACAAGGACGACTTCCCTTATCTCTCACAGAAATCATGATCGACTTTATTGTAACCTGTGAGGCTTTTTTGTTTATGGATTGGTACTCTGACTACAATCATATCAGGATGGTCCCTGAAGATGAGTTGATCGCCTTCAGGACCACAAAGAAGATATATCGCTACAAGGTAATATCCTTCGCATTAAAGAATGTTGGTGCCAGTTATCAACGTGCCATGACAATCATATTCGAGGACATTCTCCTTGATGTCGTGAAATGTTATGTGGATGATCTGGTCATCAAATCAAAAGATCAATCCACTCACCTTGCAAATTTGGAAGTTGTGTTTAAAAGATTGAGGAAACATAAACTAAAGATGAATCCTTTAAAGTGTGCATTCGGGGTAAAATCTGAGAAATTCATGGGTTTAATTGTGAAACACCGAGGAATTGAGATAGATCGACGAAGATATGTGCCATACAATAGATGCCCCCACCAAATAACCTGCATGAGTTGAAGTCTCTCCAAGGCCGTTTGGCATACATCCGTAGGTTCATATCCAACCTCTCGGGACATTGCAAGCCCTTTCCTCAGCTCATGAAGAAAGACATCCCCTTCGAATGGAATGATTCCTGTCAGAATTCTTTCCAGGACATTAAGGACAATTTATTAAAACCACCGGTCAGACAAGCCACTCATCTTGTATGTAATGGCCTTAGAAGGATCTTTGGGTGCCCTCCTTGCTCAACATAACAATGAAGGAAAAGAAGTAGCATTGCACCATGATGCCAGCTTAGTATAATTACTCCCCCATTAAAAAGATGTGCTTGGCCTTGGTGTTCGCAGCCCAAAATTTGCGACACTATCTCTTGGCACATCCAATACAGTTGATATCCCAGGTCGACTCAATCAAATACTTGACGACAAGAAATGTTCTCTTGGGACAACTAGCTAAGTGGGTTTTACTCCTTATGGAGATCGACATTGCTTATGTCCCACAAAAGACTATTAAATGGCATGCTTTGGCGGATTTCTTGGCCGCTCATCCCCGGCTGAAGGATCACCCTTGAATTAATTTGTACCCGATGAGAAAGTCATGGCACAAACGAACTTGCCCGATGGCAAATGTTCTTTGATGGCACCTCTTAAGCGCAAGGTGTCGGAGCGGGTGTGTTATTCATTACACCCGATAAGGGGCGTTTGCCATATGCCTTCTCATTAAATGAGAGATATTCAAATAATGAGGCTGAATATCAAGCATTGATCAATGGTCTGGATATGGTGCTAGAGCTAGAGTTGGGGTGTCTCAACATTTATGGGGACTCCCAATTAATATTCCCACAATTGAAAGGGATATACGAGTTCTGTAAGGACGAGCTCAAGCCATATTACAATACTGCAAGGTATCTCCTTGGGAATATGGATGAGGTCACTTTGACTCACATACCCAGAGGATCAAATGTGCAAGATGATGCATTGGCCAAGCTCGGGGCCACGATGGTAGTCAAACTTGGGACTCCGCTCCATGGTCTAGTACAAGAATGGCGAAGATGGAAACAACAGATCCCAAGGACAACGGAAATTTATGGGCACAGTTTCCCTCGTACCCTTAGGGGGCTATGAGGAAATTGATAGAAGAACCTACCCCCGCTGATATTATCATCGTAGTAGGAGCACCCTAGCCAGATTGGTGTCAGCCTTTCTTGGAATATCTGGTCCATGGCCAACTCCCTGAAACTATGGAGGATAGGTTATCCGTTAAAAGGGGAGCCACAAGATTTACTCTTCTTAATGATCAACTTTATAGGAGGTCATATGATGGAATGTTGTTAAGATGTCTCTCACACAAGGAGGAGCTAGTGGCCTTGAAATAAGCGTGCACTGGAGTATGTGGCATGCACCAGTCCGGGCCCAAATTATACCACC